TGAGTAGCTGAAGAGTAGATAGAAATTATTAGAGAAATCAGAGATAATGAAAGAATTGATAGAAACAGACTTCTTATATAAGCTGTATTCATAGAAAATACTCAGATTCATAATCTCTTTTAAATAATATATAACATGTAATAGAGCCTTTCAACATTGAGATGTTGAATCAACATTTTATTAAGTGAGTAGTAAGACAGTATGAGTAATATCAGAACATATTTTAACTGCAAGATATTGTAAGTAACTTATATTATATTAATATCACTGAATTGTGAAATCAGTCTCTTTCTCAGATATAGAGAAATTATTAATACAGAATTCATTCTTCATTGATGTTCTGATAACAGCTGTATTATCAAGATAGAAATCTTTAACAAGATATTTAATATATTAATAATATATTAAATCAATTCTCTTATCTGAACAATTAATCTTCATACTTAAATACTTAATTAACTGATATAGATTCTTGACTTTTAATTTCTCACTGAGTATACTTACTAGTTAATCAGCATTCTCAGAAGCTTCAGATATAATATTGAGATTGTCAATATAGATTGTTATATAGAGATAATATCTGAATGTATAATATCAGAGTGCTGAATTATAAGTGCTGACTGTAAATCTGAGATCACTTAACAGAGCTATTAAGTAATTATATCAGATCTTCACTGCAGAGTTCAGGTTATATAGACTACTCTCAACTGTGCAGATAAGTGTTTTCAGTGAATCTGTCTCAAATCTGATGAATTATCTTATATAGATCTTCTTAGTAAGATGCTTATGAAAATATGTTATTACTATATTCACTTAACAGAGTGTTTAACTGCATAGTACTGCTATTGTAAAAAGAATACAATTAACAGTATCAGTGATGACAGAAGTGTAGATCTCTTCTCTAGAATTCTTCTGAAGTCAGTTATTATAAATCACTCAATGCAATTTTCTAAGAATATTATTAGAATCAGTATTCAGGTTCACAGGCCTATCTTTCTCAAGAAACACTTAATAGCTCAGAGTAATCAGTTCATCTCTCAGAATATCAGATCTAGAAATCAAACTTCATGTATTATATCTCTTCAGATCAGTAATCTTATGTTGTATAAACTTCTTTCAATAATCTTCTACTCTCTCTGACTGAGATGTGGCATTCTTGTAGAACTTCAAAAGATTGCCTGTAATGAGACTTAAAGTGTAAGTAGTCAGTGATTTCACAGGTCACAATTATGTAGAATTCAGATTATCAATGTCAGAGATGTCTTCATCATTAATCAGATGAATATCAGGTTTCAGTACACTGATATTATTAGTGAGTGTCACAGATGTGACAATCAGTTCAATAACATAATTAATGAGTTTCACAGATATAATAACTGATTTTTTAGTAATCAGAAATCTTATATCACTACTGACAATAATCTTGTCAGATTCAGAATGTCATAGGCGGTATATCAATGTGCCACTGAATTCAATGATATGATAGAAATCAGTATGTGAAGAGAGCTTATCTGCAGGCTGCTGAGATTCATGCAAGTGAATAAAAATCTCTGTACTTAATTAGTGAAAATGCCTTACATTCAGCGGGGTATTTATAAGTACATATTAAGAAATCTTATATGAACTTGAAATCACAGAAGTCTCTGCAGTAGAGAACTAAAATTTCAAGTTATAAAGAACTGTAGATGTGAGAGTATTATTAATTATTATAATCACTGTCTCTAGAACATCTGTTCAGAACTTCTTAGAAAGATTACTCTTCAAAAGAGCAGCTCTAATCTGTCTCATAATAGTACAGATCTTACATTCAGAAACATTATTCTGATGTAATAAATATGATATCATTGATTTTCATTTGATATCATATGAATTCATAACTGTGTGCATACATATGAATCAGAAAACATCATTAATATCAGTCTGTAGAAAAGCAGAGACTGTATACTCAAGATTATTCATGAATCTGAGCCACAACTCAAAGTATTGAACAGTCTTATTCTTGAACTTTAAAAAATACACTCAATGATAGCAGGTTGTATCATAGATAATAAGTATTCAGTATTTCATTCTCTGATGAGACTCTAAGAAGTAATCAGAGAGATCTTTCAATGTACATTCATCATCTGTAAGATTAATATAAATCTTCTCAATGAGTCAAATAGATCTAGGCATCAGTGTTTTTAAATAATCTCATATTATATCAGTCTTGACACATTTCTTGCAAAAGAACTTAGTCTTAGAATCTTTAATTGTGACTTCAGTATGAGAATTCTTGATCATAGTAATTATAGCATCAGTGTAAATGTGATCAAGATTATAATATCAATTTAAAAGAGTCTTTGATATCTTTGATGTCTGTGTTTTCATGTTCACAGAATTGATATTATTAACAGTAGTAGCAGCAGTTACAGAAAGATTAACTTTTCAATTAAAATCATACTCATGAGACATCATTGCAATGTACTTGACTGCTCTATTCAGATGATTGAGATTCTTATTGAACTCTCACTCATTAACCTTATATATGTTGTTCTGAGTGATTTAAACTGTATGAAAAATAACACTGTTCAGAGCTCTGCAAATGAAAAATAAGAGAATAGTGAAAGACAATGTAAATTGAAATCTCTGATCTTCAAGCTTTGCAAATGAGAGCAGGTTAACTGTAATATTAAAAATATAGTGAACATTCTGCAAGTTAACATTATCACTCTCAATCTTTAAGATGACAGTTTCAATCTTCTTAATAAACTCAGTTTCTTCAGTTGCAGAATTGACAGAGATATTATCATTAAAAGATTTGATATTTGAAAAAGAATGAAACTCATCTGTCATATTCAGGCTTACATATGTGTTTAAATATCAAGATCTAGAGGATGATTTTTCAGTGACTGTGAAAGAGAAATAGAACTCAATCTTTGTAATTACTGCATTTACTGCTGATTGAGAACTTATCAAGTCATTCTTCTTCTCTTTCTTCTTATCATTCTTCTTATCATCCTTCTTTTTCTTTTTATCAGAGTGTAAGATGAAACATCTGTCAACAGTATATTCATATCTTCTACAGTGAGTGCACTTTCATACAGATGCACTTTTGTCCTCATCTTTATTCTTATCTTTATTCTTTTTCACAGTTTCAGAATTGATCTGAGACTGCTTTTTTCACTCAGTGATGATCTTCTTGAATGTCTGATTGATCAGTTACTTTATTAAATCATTGATATCAATGTTAACAATGAGTCTCTGATCAGTGAAGAAAAACTCATTTAAACATATCTTAACAAATGATCTTTGATAATCTTGTAGATTATTGAGGAAAAGATTATGATATACATTCTCAGTGCTCTGACAGAGCTCTTTATGACAGATAATAAGATAGTGAAAATGTCTCTGAAAAGTAAGATAATCATTCTTCTTGACTTGTAATTTTATCAATTTCTTGAAGATATTAACTCATTCTTCTGTCAGTGATATTATATATTCAATATTAATCTTATCTCACAGAGCTGTAGTATTGTCAGCTTTCAAGATTTTAATAGTAGTTCAAACATTTTTAACAAGACTTGATAGTATACATCTATATAGAGACTTGAAACAGATTCTTCACTTCTCAGAGTTGATATGATATATAAAAGAGAATTCTCATTGAGTTCTTAATAGAATATCAGTTTTATTAATAACTTTCATATCAGTCAACATACTAACACATCAGACTTTATAATTAGAGTTATCAAATGTGATCACTGATTTAATATCTAGTGTATATTTAACTTTCTTCTGATATTTCTGCAACTCATCTCTCATAGTGTCTCTTTATACAGATATAGTGAGATATTAAGTTGTTTCAGTCACAGTTATCTGATTTTATAGTATTATCTGTATAAGATTCATAAGATTGCCTGTAATACAATAGATAGATTAATTCAGATCATTATTAAAAGTCAGCATTCTGAAAGTGAGAGATAATAAAGAATTCAAAGAATTGAAATGAACAGATTCTACAGATAAATATTGACTCTGCTTTTCTTTATTCTGAAGTTTCTCTATTATCTTATTATTAAATTTCATACTCTGATGAAAACTAATCTCAGTCTCATCTTACAAGTCAGAAGCCTTCTTATAATAAGTGATTATTCTATTAATAAGTTATCTAATAAAGTGTGTGATTCTGAGTCTTGAGCTGAACTCTGAAGTAATAGATGTATCACTTATATTAAGATGACTCTGCTTCTTCTAGATGTGTAAAAAAAAAAAAAGAGATAAAAAGTAATATTCTTCACAATAAAGAACACACTTTCTTAAAAAAAATAAAGTATATGAATCTGCTGATCAGCAGATTCAGAGAAAATGAAATATCTCTAATAAAGAGTAAGAGTCTTTTCAAAAAAGATGAACTATCTGTGTCAAAAATGTTGATACAACATTTTAAAAAGAAAAACATGCTATCTGGGCTATAACCTGTAGAATAGTTGAAGGTTGTATTGATAGATCTATCTACAGGAACATAATATAGTGGTGGGTCACGTGATCTAGTGGGATCGCTAACCGCAACGGCCGTAAGGGCCAACAGGAGGTTCTACTTGTTGATTGCTGAGTCAACGCCAAGCCAAGCAAGCCTCACTGGGTTCTTTGATGCTTCCATCTTGGCCTGCCCTTTTTTCTTTTCAGCTCACATGCCCTTTCGGCCTGCAACCCCTTTTCAGCTCGAACTTCTTCTTGGGTCACACTCCTTTCAACACATACATTTATAGATGTATTTAGGAACTCCGCCAGGGCTGGGGCACCAATACCTCCTTGAAATCACATGCATTTGTAAATGACTTTACTACTTCTACCCATCCATTTGTTGGAACAGTTTCTATGAGCGGATGAGCCAGGATCAGGATTCAAAAATGAATGATCAGAGGTGTGGCTTCAACTGAGTCTTCTTATACTTTACATCTTCATTCACCTGCTTGCAGTAGTGTCAACCCTGCGATCGCGGTAAAGAAGATGAAGATGCATCAGGTACTATAGGTGTAAGCTTCTTTCACAGCTTCAAGTTGTGTAGAGTTGGTGATGTTTCTGATGATCTCCACATTTGCAGCAGTGTTCCCTCTGTTGAGGCTGTTCTGCAGAGATCCACTGAGGCCAGCCGCTGCCAGTGCGGAAGCTCTAGTGTTGATGCTGTTCTGGAATATGGAGCCCCCAATAACAACAGCTAGTAAAGATGCTAAGCTGCAAAGAAATGACAAAGTGGATGTAGCTGACGCGACATCTGATTTATGTACTGAGTTTTGCACAGCCAGCATGGGCGTCTGGAAAAGAAGGGCCATGCCTACTGCTGCAATGATTTGGAACCCGATGATTTGACCGAGAGGCGTATGGGTCCAGAAGTGAATGTAGAGACCAGTACCCAACGTCATGAGCACACAACCCATCTGGAGGAGAATCAAATATTTGCCGGTCCGATGGATGATGAGTCCGCCGACAAAGTCAGCTGCTGCTGCCGCCAAGACATAAGGAAGAAGTAGGACACCACTGCGAAGCGGTGACGCTTCTTGGACGCTCTGAAAATACAGAGGCAAGTAGAATTCGGTGCCGGTTGCTACCATGCTATGTCCAAAGGCCACGATGATGACAGAAATGTTAGACACTCGCTGAAAGGCGCTCAACGGCATGAGCGGGTATCTGGCAAGACGCAACTCACTATACAGAAACAGTGCAATTGAGGCCGAACCAAACACCAGGAGACATATAACAGTTGAGCCGCTCCACGGGAATGTTGCTCCGCCGAGATTGAGGCCGAGCAAAATCATGATGACCACGGCGAGAATCGAGAAAGATCCCCACTAGTCCACCACAGCCAAGACCCTTCCGTAGCGGAGTTCGTGGGTTGTGAAGGTCCAGAAACAAGAAGAATAACAGTTCTGCAAGTCCGCAAACAGGGAGATTGATCCAAAAGCACCAGCGCCAAGTCACATACTCGGCAAAGGCACCTCCAATCAGCGGGCCGGCACCGCCAGCAATGGCCTAGACAGCGCCCATGATGCCAAAGTAAAAGGACCTATCGCGCAAGCTGAACATATCAGCAATTGCCACAGCAACATGCTGCATGAGCCCTCCAGATCCAACTCCCAGCAGCGCCCGTGCAGCGATGAGCATAGGCATGTCGATGCTCAGGACAGCTATAAGGCTCGCCACAGCAAACACAAACACTGCGACGAGGATGAGGGGTTTTCGGCCCCAGATGTCGCTACATTTGACCCATATGGTTCCTCACGACGCTCGCGAGCAAGTAGGCGCCGCCTATCCATGTGTAGCCCGCTGCGGAGTGCAGGTCGTGGGTGATGGTGGGTATTGCGGTCGCAACGACTGTCTGGTCTAGTGCGGTGATGAACATGACCCATATATAACGCGATGGTAATCATGAGGGTTCGGAGTTTAGAACGCGATGGGGTCTCTTCTTCGACGGTGGCTGGCACTGCAGTACCGACTGCCTCGCCATCTTCGGTGCCCTGCTGGACATTTTTTGTCGTTTTCTGCCAATGTCTGACGCGGCGTGGTTGCTAGAATGTCATTGTCCTAAATAGCATGTAAAGTGTAGGTTGAACGAGGCTGGCCTTCTCGCGGCCCTCAATGTACTCCGTACAGATCCGGTCATGTTTCTTTTTAGCGCTGCTTTACGAAGCTGCGGGGAAAAGGGGGATGCATGCCAAGGTTATGCAGGGGTTAGGGTTGTGTCAACAGTAATTTCAGGTTATTAACCGTGTCATGCTTACTCACTCTCTCTAGTGAGTGCGCCACAGTGTATGGAAAACCACACTGTACAGAAAATATTATCAATATCTTCATTCTTCATCTTCAAATAATCATCATTAATTATAATCATGTCTAAATCTTCTAATTACACTGAGAAGCAGTTGTAAAGAGCTGTTGATAGACTGGCCGCTGAGATCATGAATTTCATATTTGATCCTATTTGATCTGATCTCATACATTTCTTGATGTGAATCCTGCTGAGACTAGTCATTAAAAAAACATGCAAAGTGACTACTACTATATATCAAATCTCAAAATGAAATCATGACTTGAAAAAAATGAGAAAGTGATTTCATTTAATCTTATTTAGTCTCATTCTTAGTATAAAGTTACTATTTTTAGACATTTTAAGGTTTTTTTTAGACTATTTTTAATTTTTTAACAAGTAATGCTTTTTGATAATACTTAAATGAGATTTAAAGTCATTTAAAGCAATAAAAATAATTTAAATTGAGAAGTGAAAATCATGATCTTATTTGAAAAATGTAATAAAAGTAGATAGTAGACTGACTACTGAAACTATAAATTTCATATTTGATTTCATTTAATCTGATCTCATACATTTCTTGATATGAATCTCACTGAGACTGACTATTAAAAAAACATGTAAAGTGACTATATATCAGATCTTAAAATGAAATCATGACTTGAAAAAAATAAGAAAGTGATTTTATTTAGTCTCATTTAGTTTCATTCTTAGTATAAAGTTACTATTTTTAGACATTTTAAGGTTTTTTTTAGACTATTTTTAATTTTTTAAAAAGTAATACTTTTTAATAATACTTAAATGAGATGTAAAGTCATTTAAAGCAATAAAAATAATTTAAATTAAGAAGTGAAAATCATGATCTCATTTGAAAAATGTGATAAGAGTAGACAGTAAGTCTTACTAAGACAGTATGAAACTACTATCTAATGTTAAAACTGTGTAATGAAATCAGTTAAATTGATAATAAAACTATTAAAAAATCTGATTCTGATCTCAGACACAGTTACATAGTCAGTCTAGTAGATAGTAAGTCTTACTGAAACAGTATAAGACTACTATTTAATATTAAAACTGTGTAATGAGATCAGTTGAATTAATAATAAAACTATCAAAAATTCTAGTTCTGATCTCAGACACAGTTACACAGTCAGTTCAGCTGTTAATATATAAAAAGCACTTTAAAATTAAAAATCATATCTCTGTTGTAAGAATTCAAAGGCTTATATATAATCTTATATAAGAGAATCAATGAGAAGAAATCAAGAACTATAAGAATTTTACTGAATAGAGTATTGAATAACAGTTAGAAAGAGATAATTAAGATATAAATTCATCAGTTAAATATTAATTTTTACCTGCTTATTATCAAGTATATCAAAGTCACTGTGAACTGCATGTTGAGATAGTATTATACAGATTCAGAGACTGTACCTCACACAGTAAATAAGATATAAGTATATTAATTCATTAAACATCTGTCAGATTATAAACAGATTAAGTAAAAGCTCATGAATTTAAAATAGATATCTTGTAAGAATATAAGCTTCATTATTAACTGATTTAATTAATATAAAGCTATTTTTAATTAATATTATTTTTTTCACTGTGATATCTACAACTTTAATGAGATTGAATTTTAAGAAGAAGAAGAATATGAACAGTAGATTATAATCTTCTTAAAAGATGTAAAGAATATGCTTATATCTGATTTAATAAGATAATTGAACAAGATTAGACTGGCCGCCGGGACCATGAATTTCACATTTGGTCCCATTTGGTCTGGTCTTATACATTTCTTGACGTGAGTCTCACCAGGACCAAGCCTCAAAAAAATCTGAAAATGGACCATTTCTGAGAGAAATGATGTGAAAAATGACCAGATTTAATTCAAGAACAGTGAAATGAGAGTAATTTTTCAGAATAAACTGTGAAAGATGATCATTCTTTCAAAATCAGAATGAGACTGGGACTGAAGGTTAAAATCAGTCTCATTCAGTTCATTCAGTGATTGCTTATATAATCAGAATTTGGTAACAATTATTGATAATGCTCATGAAACAACTAAATACATTCTTGTGCAAGTTTATTCTTTACTTTCTCATGAAAACTACACTTCTCTGATATACTGTGATCAGAGGTATTAAACTGTCTGATAATTTCATGTTTTACAATCATGAGTTTCTTGATTGTTTCTCCTTGTAATTGTCTCTGATGATAGTGATAAATATCTTGACTTGAGTTGAACTTTTGCTTCATTCTCACCCCTGTCAATGGAATTGTCAGAATATCACATGTCATCAGTGCAACAGTTGAATATGTACTCTCAACAATTTTTCATAACTCTAGAATTGATTTGATGTGTAAATTTGTCAGATCATCTTGAAGATAGTGATCAAATTCAGTTTTACAAGTATGTAGTTTTGCCTGATTTTCAGTTGCAATCAATATATGCAAGTTCTGTTTCAAAGTTAGTATTATAGTTCTATGTGATATGAAGTGTTACCAAAGATCATTACTTACTAGAGAATTGTATTTCACTGTCTTCACATCTCAAACATCTGCTTATTCAAATCTCTGATAGTTGACATTGTAGTAGTCTCAGGCTAATTTGACATATGAGTCTTATTCCTTCTCTGTTCAATCTTGAGAAGTGTAGATGTTAACTCAATGAGAGAGATCTAGTAGAGCTGCTACAGCATAGTACTCTGCAAAAGATTGTTCTGTTTTGCTGTAGTAATATGCTAGTTTATCTCTTACAGTAACAATAGCCTGTGCTATAGCATCATCTCAGACTGAATTTCTTTTTAAGTGATTCAACTGCTTCTTAAGATGAGTAAATAAACTGTTATACACTTATCAGACTGACTGCAGCATTGATGTATGAGTGATTGAGACTGTCTTTATTGTCTTATAAAACTGAAACAGTAAATCAATCACATATTTCAACTGAGTTCACTTCATATCAGAAAGTTTTAATATCTGAATCTTTTCTCAATCAGAGTGTTGCACTCAATGATCAATCATCTGACACAATCAAAGAGTCTGAACAGTTATCTCATATATTGAACTTCACTGTGTTCTAACATTCTGTATCATATTCAGTGATGTGACTGATTTGTTTGTTTGTTGAATATCATGAAATCATTGTTGTTGTTTAGAAGAGATACAAATTATATTAGCAATGTTTTGAATCTATGATATTTAAATTATTAGTCAATCTATTCAAAATTAACAGTAGTGTTATCAAAAAGTGTTATCAAAAAGTAATATTAAAAAGTGTTATCAAAAAACATTATCTTTTGCAAAGTGAATGCAAAAGTTACTTGAGTAATCACTTTCATCTCATTCTCATTTCAAGAACCAGCCATCTCATTATTCTTCATCTCAATGTTAAGATTCTTTATCAGTGTTTGTATCACAAGTTGAACCACATGAGCAATGCAGAGAATATGACCTTGTTTATCATTTCAGAAATGCAAAGCCAATTTTTGCTTCAAGCTCTTCATCATAGTGTAGTTATTCACAGCATTGTCAGTTGTAATTGTAAGAAGACTGGGACTAATATCTCAATAGTCATTTTTAATCACAGTCATTAATACCTCTGTCATATAATTCTCAGTATGACTACTGATCAATGATTCAAATTCAATTAATGTCTCTTGATAAGTTCAGTTCTCATCAATGTAATAACATGTAACTCTTATAAATGCAAGATTGTTTGTACTAGTTCATGTATTCACTGTGAGAGACACTCTTTGATGATTCTTCAACTCTGATTCTAGATGTTGCATATTGACTTTGTAGTGTATCTCAAGGTTGGACTGAAGACAGAATCAATGTGAAATATGAAGATTTGAATTAAGCATTTGAAGAAGTGTTTGGAATTCAGGGTTTTCAATTGATTGAAGAGAAAGATTCAGAGATATACACATGTGAAGTAATTGTTCATGAAAGTTATCAGATGAGAGTTGTGAAATCAGAGTACTGATATGAGGTTGTTTTCACATGATTTCCTTCAAATTAGAAAGTTAGTGTTATCAAAAATTGTTATCTGATAGAGCAACTTATCAGCTCAGTAGTAATTTTCTGATTATTTTTCTTTTGTTGTCTGCATTCTGATGACTTCAGATGTTGAAAAATTTCTTCAGAGTCATGACCAGTTCATGATGAATGTTTCTGAATGAAGTTACAGTGATTGTAGCAGAGAGATGACTCTTCAGTAATCTGCAATGCAATCTGTTGATAATTATTCCATAGTTCATCTCAATGTTTGTGTTGAGTTTTTCATAAATTTCATGACCTGGAATCAGATGTGAAGAATGAAGTGATCATTCATTATAATTGAAAGAGAGCATTCTGTATTGAATTGTAAATAACATAGACTTTGTGATTCACAGTGATTTCTTGAAGAGTTTGTGAATCTTCAATAGAAGTAAAAGAAGTGAATTCAGAAGACATGATAATAATTTAAGAAAGATGATAATTTATTTTCAATAACTGATCACTGATGTGTGTAAGAAGAATTAATATAAGAGAAAATAATCTTGTTTCTTAGCTTAGTTATAATTTTAGTACTAACTCAGATTGAATATCATCAATGTATAAAAGTAAATAAACAATCTTGATTAATCTCTGTCATATTTCTTGAAATATATTAATATTGTGAAAGAGAGCATTACTAAATTGTATTATCAGATGATATCATTAAAAATATATTAATATTGTGAATATCAATGTTGAAAAAATGTTGATACTTATACATTATAGTGATTTGTGAATCATGATAGTTAAATATATATATATATATATATATTGTTCCTGACTTGATTACAACTTGTACAATAATTTTTAAA